ACTTTTATTTCATATTTTAGTTTCTATCTTCAAACTCAAGATGTTTATATTCCTTGAGTTTGAGAGAGATGTTAATGTATATATGGTATATATTCCTTCATCGTTCATATATTAGGTATTGATTTCCTAGATATATTAGATATTGTCATAGTTAAGTCTCTTATAAGATACTCTTTTTCATAATTAGATTTCTAGTAGGATACTCTTTTTTAGCCTATATATATAGGCCTTCTATTCAATACAATACATATTATTTTCTCTCTCTCTCTTCTATTCTAAAAATATCTTTTCATTTAATTGACTTATTACAATTATTAAGATGGACTTCATCGTACTTAATAATTTCTCAAACAAAAGAAAAGTTAGGGCTAAACCATAGTATTCAATTGATGCACTTCGTTAGTCTAGTACCACTACTTATTTTGATTTCCAGTTGATTTCAAATTGGTCAAAGGGAAGTGAACACGGCACTGGAAGCTTGCGTTGAACTTTACAGTAGTTGATTTTATTTTATTGGCTATGTTACAAAATTTAATTTATATTAGCTGTTTTTAAGATTGAGTTAAATGTCACTATAATATTCACATTTGTTCACTTGTATTAAATAATATTTTATTATTTACTTGTGTAATGTTAAAATATTAAATATTTGTTTATTTTAACTATTCATTATTAATTAATTTAATTATTTTTAAGTATAGTGGAATTATAATTTCAACCAAGCTATATTTCTGTTTGGTTTGGTTGGTTCTAAACTAAACACGGTTATAGTAAAACTTATGGTACAATATTCAAATTTTGATTATATCTTAAATGTGCAAAAAAAAGAGTTGAACACCAATTGCCTCGCCATATTTTAAGAAAAATTATATAATATAAAGTCATTACAACAAATTAAAATTTTAGGGATACAATTTAGAGAAAATTATTTTTAGAGATTAAATGTTTGGAGTAATTTTTGTCTCAAAAAGTAAACTTTTTCTGGTATAAAACTGTTTTGTTTATAAAAGTACATATATTAGGGATATTTTCAAAATTGTCACTAAAATTCTTTATTTGGACATTTCAATAGGGGTGCAAGTGCAGCTTGGGCGAGCTCAACTTGAACAACCCGAGGGGCATTCTATTTGCACCCAAATAATAACTTAGCACGCCCCATTAAAATTTTAAAATTTTGTTCCTATTATACCCTAATATAAATTTACTAATAAGAATAATACATATTAAATCTTAAAATAATTTTTTTCTTCTCTAAATTTTAATTATTCACACTTCATCTTCTTCTTCTTCTTACCAAAACTTCAATTTATCCCACCAAAACTCACCATTATATACACAAAAAAGAACCCTAAACAACCTCGTCAGTCATCCTCTAATCTTTATGATGACATTTTTAAAAAAAAGTGAAACATGTTAATCTCTCAATGGAAACCCACTTCACCAAACAACAATCTAGAAACGATGAAGCTATAGAAAGCATTAGAATCATCACCAGAGAAAAATACCAGGAAAACCCACTAGAGAGAGAAAAAAAAAAGTATTCAACTGTGGAGAGAGCTCAGTCTTTGATGAAAAACAAACCTTACTCAACAAAGTTCAAAAGACCAAAATGAAATCCATATATGATATATACGGTATATACATATGCATACATACATATATATAGAGAGAGAGGGGGAGGGGGAGAGAGAGAGAGAGAGAGAGACCCATAGCTGAGAAGAGATGGAGGAATTTTTTGAATTAATTTGTTGATTATTTGGGTGTACCATAAATTATGATTTTATGTGGAAGGATAATTTGTAAAAAAAAAAATAAATAGTATATTGAGAGTAAATTATAATTCTAAATAATTTAATAGAAGTATTAAGAAATTGAGCGTACTGAATGATTTTTTGGGTGTAAATAGAATCACCCGCAGCTTGAGCTCAATCTTAATTTTTTAGGGCTTAAACAAAATGAATTTGAATTTGGTGTGAGTTTGAACAAAAATTTAAAAGTCCGAATTAAATTTGGGTAAACTTGGGCAAAGACACCAAACAAATGATATATATATATATATTAAATATACATATAAATAAGAAAAGCTTACATTTTTATTTTCTCACTTAGAAATTGTAAAGACCACGGTAATGGCATATTGATTCTTCAATTCTTATCTCTTTCATATTATATAAATTATTTGGTTGATATTATTAATAATTTTATAAAAATAGATTCTAATTTTAGCAAATTAATTAACTTAACTAAACCAAAAAAAAAAAAAAAAAAAAAAAAAAATCAAATTCATGTGCAATTTGGACATAACTCTGGTCGGGCTTAGACAAACAACATTGGTTATAATTCAAACCTGGACAAGCCTGGATAGCTTTTAACACAACTCGAACTAAATATGAACAACCTTTCAATCTATTTGAATTCGTCCGAATTGCATCCCTACTATTCAAAACTTTTTGTAGTGAGTGCGTAGTATTATACAGCATGAATCCACCATCAAATTAGAAATAATATCAATTCCGCTACACACTTTATTTATTTAATTAAAATCCAATATGAGATTAATAAACCAAGTTGAATTGAACAAAATTCCTATACGACACTAAAGTCCTCATCAAACACCAACTAATAAGAATTGAATTTAGCATAGTGATTTTGTAGCCACACCTTATGGTGTGATGAGGGAAATGATAGGGATTCAAGTTGATAGAGTAACGGCAATCCCTTTAGTTGTAATTTAATTTACTAACAAACTAACCTCTTCAATCTTGGCTAACAAAAAAAAAAAACTCAAAAACTAGAAACATATTAAACAAACTAATTAAATATTAATGTGTGTGTTTAGTTTGAATTTTTTGGATTAAATTTTTTAAAAACTGAATTTTTGTTTTTCGTATTTTTTTTAAGTGAATATTTTAAAAAATTTAAGCATTTTTTTAACTTTTTTAGATACACCTCACTAAAAGTAAAAAATTTGTGAAAAAATATTTTAAAAAATTAATAAATACATAAAAATATAAAAAATATACTAAATTCTCATATTTTTTTTATTTTTTCTATTTAGTGAATTTTTATAAATCAAATATCAGCAATGACAGCAGGTAAGGGAGGCTTACGCAACGAAAGAACTAAGATTGATTCAATCAAATACAAGATCACAGCTTATCCAACTAGCACATAACAATTTATGAAGAAACTAAACAAAGCTTTAAAAATCCCTCCAAAAGGAAACAAACTTTAATAAGTACAATATAAACATTTAATCTGATTCAGAACTTTACACCAAATAGAGCTGATAGCATCCAATAAAACCAAAGGTTGACACTGCTTGCGCCAACTTTGGAGATTAAAGTGTTTCTTATGGACATGTTCATCATTTTTCCAGCAGATCATGAGCATTTATTTATTTTATTTTATTTGAACAGCTTGTAGATTATGAGCAGTGGAGCTCAACTCTCTTTCCAGTGATAAATTAAGTAAACATCAATGAATTTATCAAAAAAAGACTCACAAGAAAACATTCTGGATTTTATCAAGAGAGTTATTAGCCAAAGAAACATTGTCAAGAATAGATGACAAGGAAGCAAATTCAATGATTTGCAATCATTTAGAATTCCAAAAAACTGGAAATTCTAAGAGATCAAATTAGGTAGCATTGCGTAGAGTTAAAATAAAAATAAATATTAAGTGTAATACTTTAATATTTTAATATTATGATACTTAAGAAATTAACTCTCTTTCCAGTGACAAATTAAGTAAACATCAATGAATTTAACAGAAAGAAACTCACAAGAAAACATTCTGGATTTTATCAAGAGAGTTAGTAGCCAAAGAAACATGGTCAAGAATAGATGACAAGGAAGCAAATTCAATGATTTGCAATCATTCAGAATTCCAAAAAACTGGAAATTCTAAGAGATCAAATTAGTGTTAGAAGAAACCAATGAAGCAATAGGAACATTAAAGTGTATCATATCTTTCCACATATAGTAAGATAACATGGATTGTTTTTTGCATTAGTACAGAGGTGCAAAGATAAAAAATAAAAAAACAAATAAAAAATATGGTGCAAGGAAAAATAGATGTATAACAACATAGATAAGACATGGAAATGAGTACTATAGTTAATAATTCCATTGCTACTTGACAAGAAAAGTTAGCATTCAGATATAACGTTTAACAAATATGACATTTCATGTATCAATTCAGATAAAAGAATCCATATGAAATCCAGTAATGAACTCTTTCAGAGGTCCGTCAGATGGAAATCATGTAGTTAGTAGCTACTTCAATTACAACCCTTTACTTGTCATCTATATCTACAAATGGTAATGTGTGGAGGGTCAGCAAGATAAACAATTTTGAAGCATCTATTTCCTTCATATATATTAGACAGTCACATAGTACTCTAGGTAATCTGGATAACAACTACATAAAAATAATTTCCTATATTTAATGCAAGAACAACACAATTATAAAAATAACATAAAATCTCATCTAAAAGGAAAAGAGAATGCAAATGACACCAGCTGAAGATTTCACAAGCTATGATTACAATTAATGTGGGGCATTAAGTTCTATATACAATATTTCTTGACCATCGTGACTAGGTCATAGTCATAGATTAATCAGTACATGCATCTCAGATTCAAATGCATTAAGATGGAAAGAAAGGGCATAAAACAGATATGATATCAACAAAAATTATGGAAATTTTCCAAGCCCTATTGTTGTAAATATATATTTAGTTGTACCAAAGCCTGTGTCCTACATTTGACATGCCTATATCGTGTTGTATCTGTATCCTGTTTATATATCTGTGTTTCTTAGGAATTATTCAAAATTGCTCCAAACTAAGAAGGTGTTTCTTCCAAATTAAATAGACACAGAAATGAACTGAATATGTCCAGCTCCATAATCCATAACTCTTATGAAAATTTCTTGTATAAGCATCAGAATTAAATATTCAACTTAGCAATGACACACAAGGCCATAGAAAAACATACCACTTCCGCACCATAGCATGAACCGCAATATGTCTCATTGTGTTCAAGCCTCCCACCATGTCTTTGTAAAGGCTTTTCAATCTGTGCCATTGATAAAAAAAAGTCAGAAGATAAGGAAAATATGAGAGGAATGAACAGAACCAAAAAAAAAAGAGTAGAAAAATTGCTCACAGATCTGGCACTTACAGATCTGGCAGTGCTGCCTATTAGAGCAGTTTTAAATGCCATCAAGATGATCAAGAATGAAGGACTGGAGCAGATTGATCCTCTAATCATCACTCAAGCTTCATTGCTAAGTATGTTTCTCATCCTTCACTATAAATTTAAGAATCCAATGTTCCAACTCACAAATTACATGCATATCTCAATTTTCTTAGTGGATATGTATTTTTGGAAGTTTGATAAATGATTAAGGGGTTATTTGGGGTGTCCTAAATAAGTGCACTTTTTGACTTTTTATAAAATATGGGTTGGGTATGGGTTGAGTTTGAAATAATGTGATAGAGAGGTGATGTGATTTAAATAAGATGATGTGACTTAAATAGGATAGTGACTTTTTGACTTTTTAAATTTTTTTGAGGATGCCAAACTTGGCCTCAATACCATTGAAGAAGTAACTTTCCTTTTCCAGCATTATCCTAGACAAAAATATTTTTAGAAAAAAACATACCCACATATCTTTACTAAAAAAATGATAAATAAGGACATCATACCTCAAGACAAGATCACAAGGCCAAGGTGCATGGATCCACAAAGAAACAAAAAAGATATGAATCCCCTGCAGGTACAGTTCTTCAAAATTAGAGAGCAAGAAATATCACAGAGTTGTCGGGGACTCTATGTTATTTCACCAGAGAAGACAATTCATGCACTTCCAGATGATAAAAATGCTCACCAAATAACACCCCATCCAACACCATTATCAGTTGATCGTATATGTCTGCATTGGCACACGTTCCTTGCAAGTCAGCTGTAATTCCATTTATACGCACTTGACATTATAATAAATTATTAACTCCAAGACCATACTATATTCTGAAAACAGACTATTCATTACACCTGTACTTAGGCCTCGTTTGGGAACAAGCTAATTTAATAACTTTTTTACTATTTGACTAAAAAAGTAGGTAAAAAAAACTTATATGTTTGGGATGACTTTTTGGCTAATTACGAAAAGATATGCAAAAAGTAGAGAGAAAAGAGAATCTTTGACTTTTTTGTATGAGTTGTTGGCTTTTTGGCTAAAAAGGTAAATTTTTAGCTTTTTGGCTAAAAAGGTAAGTCCCCAAACAGGGCCTTAACCAATGATAGACATAAGTGACAATTCTGTCATCCCTTAACTGAAGCATAAGCCTTCAATGCATTTGATTTGACAAATTAATTAATGTTTCAGTATATATGGGTCATAGATATATTCCAGTCAAAAGAATACAAGTTTGCCAGTTTTCAAATGCCATTCTTTACATTCTCCATGAACTCATTTTGGCTCTAACATCTTCCATAACTGCTTTAATAATAATATCCACATGTTTCCTCTTTTTTTTCATGAAAAATTAGTCATTTCTTTCTCTCTATCTGTGGTAGAAGGCTATCCAAGTCTACAAACATATATTCCCCAATTCAATTAGCCCAAAAAAATAAGAAATTTAGTTAACACTTTAGGCCCCGTTTGTTTTGGGTGAAAGAGAGGGTATTGGGATTGCTAATACCAAGATATTTGTAATAGCCTTGTTTGTTTTGGGAGAAGGCCTTGAGACTATTAGTCCCTTGGTATTACTAATACCCTTAGAAAGGGGATTGGTAAGGAGGAAGTAGAGATGGTATTAGAAAAATAGTGAGGGGATTAGAAATTTTTTTATTTTTTTTATTTTTTATATATTGGGAATTGTTTTTAAAATATAATTTTTAATTTTTTATATTTTTTTATTTGTTTTATTATTTTATATAAAAATAATTTAACAATTCCTCACTACTAATCCCCTCACTATCAATCCCCTCACTAACTTTAGCTAGAAAGGTAGGTAAAAAAAACTTATATGTTTGGGATGACTTTTTGGCTAATTACGAAAAGATATGCAAAAAGTAGAGAGAAAAGAGAATCTTTGACTTTTTTGTATGAGTTGTTGGCTTTTTGGCTAAAAAGGTAAATTTTTAGCTTTTTGGCTAAAAAGGTAAGTCCCCAAACAGGGCCTTAACCAATGATAGACATAAGTGACAATTCTGTCATCCCTTAACTGAAGCATAAGCCTTCAATGCATTTGATTTGACAAATTAATTAATGTTTCAGTATATATGGGTCATAGATATATTCCAGTCAAAAGAATACAAGTTTGCCAGTTTTCAAATGCCATTCTTTACATTCTCCATGAACTCATTTTGGCTCTAACATCTTCCATAACTGCTTTAATAATAATATCCACATGTTTCCTCTTTTTTTTCATGAAAAATTAGTCATTTCTTTCTCTCTATCTGTGGTAGAAGGCTATCCAAGTCTACAAACATATATTCCCCAATTCAATTAGCCCAAAAAAATAAGAAATTTAGTTAACACTTTAGGCCCCGTTTGTTTTGGGTGAAAGAGAGGGTATTGGGATTGCTAATACCAAGATATTTGTAATAGCCTTGTTTGTTTTGGGAGAAGGCCTTGAGACTATCAGTCCCTTGGTATTACTAATACCCTTGGAAAGGGGATTGGTAAGGAGGAGGTAGAGATCATATTAGAAAAATAGTGAGGGGATTAGAAATTTTTTATTTTTTTTATTTTTTATATATGGGAAATTTTTTTTAAAATATAATTTTTAATTTTTTATATTTTTTTATTTATTTTATTATTTTATATAAAAATAATTTAACAATTCCTCACTACTAATCTCCTCACTATCAATCCCCTCACTACTAATCCCCTTACTATCAATCCCCTCACTATTAACCCCCTCACTATCAATCCCCTCTATTCTATCTCCCAAAACAAACGGACCCTTAGAGCTCAACCTTTATTGTTAAAACCTCACTTTCGTATAATATAAACTAGCAAAAATGTCAATACTCCTTATTTGCAATCTTCCCAAAAATTTTGCAAGTTCAATTAGATGGGAAAAAAAATTTAAATCAAAGGACACCAGGGTAACTAAGATGATTCAATTCTATGGATATAGATAAGATGGTAGGATCAAACGAAAGTACACAGTTAAGCAGCCATTTCTTGCTAAATATCTATTATAATACATTTAAACCACTACATGAAAAATTTATTTTGTAATTCCAACAAATACACCATTCAGTCAATTAAACAAACACATAAAGTGCACAGTTAAGTCTAGTACCAGTAACCCAAGAAACCCACATTGAAGATGACTATATCATACTTACATTTGAACAGAAATGGAGAGAAAAATTAGGACAAAGATGAACTGCGTCAGGTCTCTGTTCAAGAAAATGTTGAAAAGGATGCCAAGGCTAAGAGCAAAAGGAGGAAAACACTTCAAGCCAAAGCCCAAGAACCTCCTTCACAAATGAGATGGTCGAAGAGTGTGTCTAAAAAAATTCTGATTTATGAGAGAGATCAAAACAACAATTGCGTAGACTCTAAAAGGTCTTACCCAATGCACAATTGCTTTGACTCAGCATCTGAAATTGCTAATTCTAAATCAGTAAAAGATGTGTTTGGTTGAGAGGGTTTACATAGTGATTTCAAAATTCAATGCAATGAAAACAGGACTGGTGACGAAAAGGTAATTCGGAGCAAGAAAAAAAATAAGAGGACTCGGTTTGAAGAAAACAATCAGAAATCTACTTTTTGTTTAAAGGAAAGTAATATTCTTGAAGATGCTCGGGATAATTTAATACCTCTGCAAGAGGGCATGCAAAGTCAGGACCGGGTTATAAGGCACGATGAAGAACACGATCAAGTTGGAGTGGGAATTTCTCCCTTCAGATCTGATATGGATGCATCCACAGGAATATACATACATCCTAGTGTTTCATTTCGCCGCTTCTTTTTCTTTTTTTTCCATATACAATTCACCACATGTATCGTGCGTCATAAAACTGTAATATTTTAAAGAAAAATGATTCAGACCTCTAAAAAAAAGGTCACTAACAGAGTTTTAATTTGTCTTTTTCTTTTCTTTTTTTTGTCTTTTACTTCATTTTTTTTTTTTTTTTTTTTTATTGCTTGACAGCTCACTAGAGCTGTACGGCTGCACCTCTAATTAGAGGTCTGCAGCAGCATTGTATTTTTAACGGCAAGCATCGTGTGTTGTAAAAAGTCACTTTTTACGATTGATGTATGTGTGTTGTGTATAATTGATGTATTAACGGCATGTCATATGTACGTAAAAAAATTATCGTTATTATGATGACGGATGTTCCTTGTTTATAATTGTGTGTTAAGTAAAAAAATCATCGTTATTATCTTCTACAGCCTATACAATAGACACGTCATGATTGGAAACATACTTACAATGTGCAAACAAAAATATGTCGTAAAAATGAGAAATTACGACATGTACTTATTGTATATCTTGATATGATCCCGTAAAAAATCAATTCTGTTATAGGGAAATATATTTAATAATTTTAATTGAGGTGGAGGCTGGGACTGGGAATGGAAATCAATTCTTTGCCTCAGTTGTTCACCGAGGTGGGAAAAACTGAGGCGGTTGGAGAGTGGAAAAATTGTCATCCTTAATCTTCTTACAGTATACATGTTACATATTATTTAAAAGAATGCTAAACAAATTAGTTACTTCTTCCGTCTCAAAATATTAGTCTCTTATTCTATTTTTTATTATTTCAAAATATTAGTCTTTCTTTAAAAATTAAGTACAAAAATAATATAAATTTCTTATTTTGCCATTCTTTTAAATTAATAAACAATATAAAAAGTACAATTATGATATTGATATTTTCAAAAAATATATTATCAAAAGGGCAGTTTTGGAAAAACAACTTTTTTAAAGTGCAATAATTGTACCATAAAAAAAATTAAATTCCCCAAAAAGAACTATTATTTTGGGACGGAAGGAATATTATTTCAAATTATTTTTACTTATATAACTTGTTTCTATCATATTTTAAAATTGTGAAAAAATATTTATAATTTTGCAAAAGTGCGCATATGTTGTTCTTCGATTTTATTTAGGTGCATCTAAAAATTATTTTCTTTTTAAAATAAAATATGAAATAAGTTTAGGGATGGTTTGGAATGTTTTAAAAAAGTGTACTTTTTGACTTATTGGCTTATATTGGTTGGGTTTGGGTTGAGTTTGATGTGATGTGTTAGAGAAGTGACTTTTTAACTTTTTGTATTATTTAGTTTATACCAAACCAACCCTTACTAAAACAAACAAAAACCGATCTAATAAGAGTTTTTAAAAAATGAAATCACAAAATAAAAAAATACTCCCTTCGTCCCAAAATAATGATCCCTTTTGGGAAATCTAATTTTTTTTGGTAGTATAATTATTACATTTGAAAAAAGTTAATTTTTCAAAATGACCTTTTTGATAGTACATTTTTTCAGAATATCAATGTCATAATTGTATTTTTTATATTATTTATTAATTTAAAAAAATGGTAAAATAGAAAATTTATATTATTTTTGTACTTAATTTTAGAAGAAGAATTAATATTTTAGGATAATAAAAAATAGAATAAGAGATTAATATATTGAGATGGAAAGAGTAATAGATTCCCCTGCCAAGACTTGAAAGTGGGACCCGCAGGAGAGAGCCAAGCAATCATATCTAAAAGTTTATTAGCCACCGCAGATTATTGATTATTATTTACACAAATTTCTTTATTTAATTAAATTTCAGCTTGGGGAATCGAACAAAATTCCTATACCACACTAATGTTCTCATCAAACACCAACTAAAAAATTTCCGTACCCACAAAAACCATTAAAAATGTCAAAATTCTATAATTATATTAAATAAATTGATTCTTTGCAAATATATTTCTAGTACTTTTTATTCAAAATTCAATTTCTACTTTATTTAAAACTCATCTATA